GTGTGTGGGGGGGGGGGTGGCCGTCCACAATAATTTGATTCAGTCTAAATCAGCCCCAATAAAATGACATCATTTGCTCTAACAGTAGAAATGAACCGGTTAAGTACACAGCTGATATCTTTAGGTAACTTTGACCTGATTTCAAAATTTATGATGTCGTTAGGAGTGCAACGGTACAGAAAAATCACGGTTCGATACTTTAGTCTCACAATTCGATAGTTTTTCGATACAAAAAGAGAAATGTCCATGCCCCTTTTAAACTTGTATTTTATTTAAATTAATTATGAACATTTGTTTAACCTCAAAAGTCCAGTTTTTAAATTAAATGTTGCTGAAACAGCAAGTTTCTCAGAGGATCTGCGCTCAAAAATGCAGCCTAGGTGGAGTAGTCGAACACAGATCCACTTATCCTTCAACATAGAGACAAGTTGATAAAGTAAATTTTAAAAATCTGCATTGTTCCATACAAGTGTGTGTTGAACCTAAAGCACTGTATTGACATGGTTCGATACGGGTACATGTATTGTTGCACCCCTAGATGCCATACATGTATGTTTAATCCTAACAGCTGAAAATGACATGCAGGGTTTTAATCTGCTCCTGACACATTATGACTGCATTTGTTGAATTGTGTTGCGATTTTTYCTAACCAAATTGTAGTGCACCAGGTGAATACTCTTGGAAAAATGAGAAATTTCTTTATGTCATATAATACGTCCTGAAAATGTAAAAAAAAAGTTTGTTGCTGTTGGAAAAAGTGAGCCTTTCCCTGAATGTTGAACTGACGTGGAACAGAACAGTGCAGAGTAAATACAGAGAAAAATATTAAGTAAATCACAGTAAAGGCATTAAAATACATTTTAACCCCAAATTATCTTGAATCATTTTACAAAAGTATAATGATTCAATATAAAATAAATAAATAAATAAATAAATAAATAGGCAGCAAGCATACCCCCCAAATGTAGACCGATGGTAGACCTAAAGCTACACTCTTGATTATCAGGATATGTTAGATTTAATTGATGGGCTCCATGGAAGAACAGCATGAAAAAGCCGGTGCTTAATTTAATAAAAAGCTGCGCTGTTTAGAATTTTTTCCCCCCAAACATGTGAAATAAGGTGATTTAGTAAGATAAAAACCAAACCTGAACTGTAAAATCATCAAGGACAACTTTCAAATCTCCCCTCATTATGTTGAGAACACCATATAAAGATGGAGTCTTGTGTGACGAGTGCAGAGCGGTGAAAGCTTGCACTTAAGCAGGAAATTCAATTATGCTTTATCTCAGTTTTGCTGYCATTTCTACACAATATAAGAAGGAATTGAGTCATGTGGTCACTCAGCTTCAATCTGATTATATGACGACTTCATAAATGAGAYGCTCCATCAAAAATCCTGCTCTGTCGTAACAAGCAATATTAACAGCAGCTAAAACATATAAACAAAGGAGGGTATAATTGAAACCCTATTAGCAGTCTTACAACGCCGCCTCATTTCCCTGTTTCTCTCCCCGATAATAACACCTGCTCTGTCGGGGGTTGATGTCTAAATGGATGCAGAAGCATATCTTAGTTCAACAGAGACAAACAATTATTGTCTCTCTGTTTGTTTGTGGCGCGCTCGCTCGCTCCGTCCCCACATGGCTTACTGCTTAATTAAGCACACAGCCTCTGTGGAGGGGTCTGGTTTCTGCCGGACCACCTGATAGGCCTGGATGAGTTCAGCCTGGAATGGACTTATAACACAATTAGCAGCTTCGATAAAAACTGTTGGCTCTAATTTAGCAGAAGGTCACCCAGACTTGTTATCAGTTCTGATTTTTAACCCTGGAATAGTGATRAAGAGAACATAATAAGCTAATAACTCAAATCTGAAGCCCTAAACATTATAATAATTTATCTGAAGAATATTTTGTATCTCATAACAGTATAAATAAGTTATTGTTGACATAGTTTTTGTAAYAGCATGACTCAAAATTCTGCAACCTTTTCAAATATTACAATGGTCAGCTCATTCAGACGATGGGTGCAATGATTTTAGGATTTTGTACCCTTTTTGAAAATGTTTTCAGTTTAGTTACAATTTTTTTTCCATAYAAAATATTAATCTTTGAGGTTTTAAATGCAGTTTTTCTACTTTTAGATTTAGCCAGCTATTTACTACTTGTTTGTAGAAACGCAGTTTCTCTCATTTCTGTTTTTATTGGTTGCATTCTAAGTGAAGCATCTTAGAACCTAAATGTTTTATTTAAACAAGCGGGAAGCTTGTCGTTTCTCACCTGGATGACGGCACTGAACCAACAGGTGTTTCCYACGTTCCGGATCCCCACGGGACACTCGTCCTGACGGATCCAGTCTGCGGGGCTGCACATTTCACTCTGGGCCTCGCATCTCTTCCTCTTCATCCTTGCGGCATTTTCCTCGGCGCTGGCCTCCAGAGCCCTGACAAATATTAAATTACTTCTTGAAAAATGATAATCCTTCAGATTCATTAAACACAATGAAACTAATTCTCTGATCCGTCAACAAGTCACATAATCAAAATAGAACATTTTTTTTGCAATTTATTGCATCTGAAGATGCTCTTTTCACAGCTGAGAACAAAATATTTATTTTCAAAATCTGACAAGGTTGTTATTAAATTTAGACAATAGAGAAAAGAGAAGAATAGTTCATGTTTTTTGATTTCATTGTTCATTATTTTTGATGCTTTATTTTTTTTCCCATTTTTGTAGAATGCTCTATAACTATGACCTATAAGCTAACAACAATAATAACCCTAATAATCATGACTATTATTAATGGAGCTATAATTTTGAGCAAGAGAAGAACAATCACTGTTTCAGGTTCTTAAAACTTTCTGTGTGATAATCAGCAGAAACTAATACTGTACTACAAAAAATAACAATGTTACTAATAAAAACAATAATAATTGACAATCATAGAAGTGTTTCTCTTGTACCTGTGGAGTTCTCTCTCTTCTTCCTGGACTTTGTGAGCCTCCTGCAGGCTGAGTTCAATGGCTGCCTGCAGTTCATCTTTAGGAAACAAAAAGGAAGTGGACAACAGAAGCTCCATGACTCAAGTAAAGGTTTCATGATAAACTATGAAAAGTAAAACAAAAAAAGTTCTCATAAAATGCATCTAATGCAGTAATCTATTTTGTCTTTATTAGAAGTAAAAACTGATTTTATAACTAAACAGGAAACCTGTTCTCCTTATCGTGCACCCTAGAAATATT